GATCTACTCATGCCAGTGGCGTCAGCAACGTAACTTATGCAAATAGATGAAGTAAGAGACTTCCACAGTGCTTCAGTGACCTCATCTCACGGAATGAGCTTTAACCCATACATGAATAAGATCACTGTGCTACATTGTACGTAAATGGAGACCTTTTAAAACTTCAACAGTTCATTATAAGAAATTGATTGAAATTACATTAAATTAAATTTGATTTGATTCAGCCCATGTAAAGTCATAATCATAGTTCTAACAAGAACTTTAGAGCAGGGAAAATGTTCTTACAAGAACTTAGAACTCAATGAATGTCTATGTGACCATTTGGAAAATCAAATGTCCCCCTTTTATTAAGGCTTGTATGCAAGTTATTGGCCATAAAAATGGTATGGGGATTCGGGCACTGCCCTGGGAGACATGTATTAATGCAAAAAACACTTTAAAAAAATACCTTTTTTAAAGGAGCAGTGATTTCAATATTGCTTAAAGTGAAACAATAACAATGAAAAATTCCTTTAAATATCGTGCCTGGGGGGTCCCCTTAACCTGCCTGTGAAGTGGCGGATCTGTACGATGTTTAGAACCTACTGCAGCAAAACTGACATTTTATAAAGAAAAAAAAATGACATTTCAATTGCCGGTAATTGGTTTTCCTTTAATCTTGTAAACAACTGCTTGGGGAGGCAGCCTGTATGAAGAGGGCACATTATAGGACACTCAGAACAAGGTTAGAGATTTTTTGGATATATTCTGGTGTCTCTTTTGCAGATGTTAGATAAAAGTTATAAAAGGTGCTTTAAAATTGGCCCTTTAGTGTTGGTGGTGCCTTCATACGGTAACCCTTCAGAGTTATTCTTGACGAGTGCAGGATTAGACCCTGCTCTAAAAATTCAAATTCTATATACCTGTCACACAGGTGTGGAAAAAATGGGACTTTGGTGTTGGTGCCTCCACACTGTAACCCCTCATTTAAGGTGGCCATACACTTTACAACCATCGCAAGACCTTAGTCTTAGTCGGGACCTTAGTGTGCGTGCGCACACCGGCCCGCTCAGCATTTGTCTCCCGAGCATCATTCAAACCAGCCGAAAATCGTACGATTTTCGGCTGGTTTTCTAGCATGCTCCTTAGACAAAAGACGTGCGACCGTACAGTAGAAACGGTTGCACGTCTTCATTCACACTGCACGGTTCTCGTACGATCGCGGGATTTCCAGCGATTCTTGTACGAGAATCGTGCAGTGTATGGGCACCTTTACTCTTGATGGGCGCAGGAATGGGCCCTGCTGTAAAAAAAATCTAATTATATGCACCTGTCACACACCTGTCTCCTTGTTGGCCTTTCAGACATGAGGTGGAGCTTATTACAAATTTTATTAGAGAATGTGGGATGGGAAATTGGTTTTGGGTGCAATACTTTATCACATGTGGTGCTCGGTGCACTATACACTGTTGTACATTGGCTTATTATGAAAAAAAACAAAAACAAATCAGGAACACCGGTGACACAGAAGGGGGAACACCAAATATGCAGCAAAAGAACCTACTGCTGAAAAGAAAAAAAAAGGGAACACCAGTGACGCAGAGAGAGGAACACCTGTGACGCACCAAAAGAACCTGCTGTTGAAATAAAAGTAAGAAAAGTGAAAGAAAAAAGAAAAAAAAATGGGAACACGGGTTACGCAGTGACGCCACTGACACTGGAACAGCAGTGATGCCACTGACACACACAAAAAAAAAAAAGACAGTGAATATACAGCACAGAAAATACTACTATATACAGTACAGAGTATTGTATATAGCACTAAAATGCTGTATAAAGCACTGACACTTCACTACACTGGCACCATTTAGCTTTCCCTACACTGCACTACACTACACTGCACTGACAGCAACACACTATATTTAACTCCAGCAACACACTACATATTAAGGCTGCAGTGTAAGCAGCCTTTATATAGTGTGGGGCTGGGACTTAGCTATGAGCAATGATTGAGCAAATTCATCATTACTTTGCCCAATCATGTCATTTACAGTGCTCTGTGCTGTCATTGCGCAAAGTATTTCACCTGGCCTGTGGTCAGGTGCATTGCTTCAGCCAATCAGAGCTCTGACAAAGCATTCTGCGGTGTGCAGTGTATTGTGGTGCGCTCAGCGGGCAAACGGCCCGCCGAACGCCCTGATAGTGTTCGCCAAACACAAGAACTAGCAGTGTTCAAGTAGAACAGTTCTTCGACTCAAACATTGAGCCCATTTCTAATCATGATCAAGAAACCAGTTTGAGCTGATTTTAGCTTTGTCACATGGTGTGTTATCCTGCTGGAAGTAGCCATCAGAAGATGGGTACACTGAGGACATAAAGGGATGGAATATGGTGAGCAACAATAGTCAGGTAGGCTGTGGAATTTAAACAATGCTGATTTGGTACTAAGAGGCCCAAAGTGTGTTTAAAAGCTATCCCTCACACCATTACACCACCACCAGCCTGGACCATTTTTTTCCATACAAGATAGATCCATGCTTTCATGTTGTTTACGCCAAATTGTGACCTGGCCATCTGAAAGTTACAGCAGAAACTGAGACTCATCAGACCTGACAATGCTTTCCCAATCTTCTATCATCCACTTTGGTGAGCCTTTGCGAATTGTAACCTCCGTTTCCTGTTCTTAGCTGATAGGAGTGGCACCCGGTGTGGTCTTCTGCTGCTGAACCAATCTGCTTCAAGGTTCTTCTGCATCTTGTGGTTGTATCGAGGGGTTATTTGTGTTACTGTTGTCTATAAACTTGGAGCAGTCTGCCCATTCTCCTCTGACCTCATCCACCAACAAGGTATTTTCCCCCAGAGAGCTGCCGCTCACTTGATATTTTCTCTATTTCAGACCATTCTCTGTAAACCCGAGAGATGGTTGTGCGTGAAAATCCCAGTAGATCAGCAGTTTCTGAAATACTCAGACCAGCCCGTCTGGCACCAACAACCATGTCATGTTCAAAGTCACTTAAATCAACTTTCCTCCCCATTCTGATACTCGGTTTGAAGTACTGCAACAGATCATCTTGAACAAGTATACCTAATTAAGTGACTAGTTAGAGTCCAAGTAGGGATGTCAGAGCAGCAATAAGACTGGAATGCATGCATCCTGTTCATTCTGAGTGTCTCTGTTCTTCATTACATGTGGTGTAATGATATTCAAAAACCACGGCACGGACTCTTATATGTTCCTTAGACTAAATGCCAGATAAATTATGGATAATGGGTTTGTGTATGGTAATTTTGGGTGCCATTGGGTATTGGTGTACCATTAGTGAATAGAGATGTACTGCTAGTGACAGGGCAAAGTGGCAAATTCTCATTAAAGTGACCCAATTTCATAATGGAAAACAGAGCCTGAATGCGACCCAAACTAAACCAATTCAACAGAGCTGGTTGCAGATCTGGCTAACAGTAATTCAAGAGACTGACATGGATAAAGAGTGCACATAGATTTTACAAGTGTATAATCTGCTGCCTAACTCGCACATCCGTGGCCAGCCCCCCCCCCCCCCAAAAACACCCCCCCACCCTCCACGACGTTG